TGAATATAACTATAAACCATATACCGTAAGTGTCTTACCTCATCTTCACTGGTTTTCAAATAGGGACAGTTTAACTCACTAAGCCAATAGTAAAATCAAAGATATATTCACATTCATAGGAGAGATTTCCTGATTTTATTTAACACGGTATAATAGCCAGCAAACTATTATTAAACAGTGTCACAACTGGAAGGGTTTTCTGTTTCTTCTGAGTGTCAGAGTACTTTTATTATATCTTTTGTGAATTTACCATAATGTATTTTGTTGCACAATTATTTGCATACATGCCTTGTTCTACCCTACTAAAATTTAAACTCATTTAGGGCAGGGCAAGGGACCATGTTGATGCTATTTTTCAATATCTGCATCTGCCCTTACACTTAGAATAAGGTTCCGTACTCATCAGATACTCATTCAGCCCATCAAGAAATATTTATTAAATGCCTACTATGTGTCAGACACTGTCCTACGCCTGGGGATACGAGTACAGAGAATGAGAAAATACTTACTCACAATGACCTTACATCCTAAATGGAAATGCAACAAGTATAAGTAAAAATAAATGCAGTTTAAATATATACTTAATAAATATAAATATACACAAAATAGTTAAATACATGGCAATTTGGGAGGGAGGGAACTAGCAATTAGGGAGATTATAGAAAGCTTTACTTATAAGGTGATGCCAGAACTACTTCTTAAAGGAAAAGAGGCTCTCTTTCTGGCAGAAGGAAAAAAGGAGAGCATCCAGGTGTATGGGACCAGTATAAAGACGTGGAGACAGGAGATAAAGTGCTATATATGAGTCTGAAATTGATTATTGATTGATTAGTAATTTATTAGTCATGAATTTATTAATCTATAACTATTGTAACCAGTTTCTAAAGACAGATTTAGAACTAATTTTTTTTTTTTTTTTAGTGAGGCAGTTGGGGTTAAATGACTTGCCAGGAAGTATTATGTGTCTGAGGCCAGATTTGAAGTCAGGTTCTCTATCCACTGTGCCACCTAGCTGCCCCTTAGAACTATTTTGTATAGGCTTTGGTAGTATGATACTCGATAAGGGGAATAGACTATATATGTAGCTTTGAGCAGTGTAATACTTTTTTTGTTGTTGTTTTGTTGTTTTTTGGTTTTGGCTAGGCAATGGGGTTAAGTGACTTGCCCAGGGTCACACAGCTAGTAAACGTTACGTGTCTGAGGCCGCATTTGAACTCAGGTCCTCCTGAGTCCAGGGCCAGTGCTCTATCCACTGTGCCACCTAGCTGCCCCTAGCAGTATAATACTTGATAGGTGACTGTGCATGTCACTTTGAGTGACCCTGCCACTTGAAGGAGATAAAGAAGATAAATGAAGGGTGATTCAGCCTGGTCAAAGGATGTTTTTCCTAGCACTGGGTTTCTGTAGTATAGGGGAGTGTGGGACTGGGGACTTTCCAAGGATGTTGACTAACTCTGTATCCCTGTCACCATGGGACCTGGAAGACCTCTTTTGTAAGTCACTCTAATTATAGACCAATCACAATCTTAGTTTAGTTGGCACCAGTTGACATCATGTAATGAACTTACATAACCAGACTGTATAAAAGGATGCTCTGATTTTTTGGGTAGGTCTCTCATCACTGAGGGGCCATTGACCTCAACCAATAAATAGAGTCTGCTTGGATTTTTGTGTCTCTGTTCATTCCCTTAATCACAGATTTATCATGACATGAAGAGCATAAAGAAAGCCAGTTTGGCTATATAACAGAATGTGGAAGGGGCAGTAATGTTTAAGAAAGCTGGAAAGATAACTTGGAACCAGGTTGTGTTGAGCTTTTTAAAGAAGTTAAAGGAGAGTTTATATTAGTTAAAGGAGTTTAAAGTTAAAGGAGAGTTTATATTTATTTTATTTAGAACAATAGGAAGCCACTGGAGGTGGTTGAGTAGGAGAGCCACATGTTCAGATCTGTGTTTAAGGAAAATTACTTTGACAGCAGAATGAAGAAAATAGACTGGAATGATGAGGTAGAGAAGAATCATTTAGGTGAGAGATAATGATGGTCTACGCCATGGTGTGGTATCTTTGTAAATGGAGAGGAGGAGGATGCCAATAATATTGTGAAGGGAGAAAAACAGCAAGATTTGGCAACTTAACAGTTATTAAATTTAATTGAATGGAGCTGAGCTGTCTTAGCTGTAAATTACATTCTGTTTTACATCATAAGAGTATTTTTGAAACATAATTTAGAATTAGAGAACATTAGAGTTGGAAAGTAACTTAGAATTTAGACAGTGTCTGAGCTAGGAAAAAAAAAACCTCAGAGACCATCTTGGGGGTGACTTCATCATTTTACGGACAAGAAAATTGAGGCTCTGAGAGGCTGTGAGTTCCCAGGTCATACTTCAAGTTCTTGCCAAAGGTAAGAGTAGAATTCAGATTCTGAGTAACTGAGAGTCCCTTCTTGTTCCCCTAATCTGTGATTCAATAAAATTAGATCCCCAATAATGCAGGCTTACTCTCACCTTCAGAGAATTTCTTCATTTCACAGAATCATAATAATGCAGCAAGCAGAGTCATAGGATCATAGGTTAGGATCTGAAAAAGATTAGTCCAGTCCCTTCAATCAAGTAATCAACAGGTAAGTAATAATCACCTACTTTGTGCTGGCCACTGTGCTCAGCTAAACATGGAGAAAAATGGTGATTTTTCTCTTGGGTTAATAACCAATTATTGAATTAGAACTAAGGATTTTCCATTTCCTATTTCCTCATTCAGAAATCAGTCCCTGTAGGTTATCCAGCCAGCCTTTGAAGGGCAGGGCTGATGATAAGATGAAATATTGGGTGAGATGCACCCAACAAGGAAAACTCAGATCTGATCAAAAGGTAAAGAAATTCTAGTCTGGGTAAAGTGTTTAATTTTGGCCCTCTGTGTTTTAGTCAGACAGGTCTGAGGGGAAGTGGATTCCCCCTTTTATCTAGATTGCCCTAGATGGGAGGTGAGAGAATTGAGTCAAGAAGACCAATTAATAGGCTATTACAGTAGTCTAAGTGGGAAGTGATAAGGCCCTGGACTGGGGCTCAACCTATGAGTAGAGAGGAGATAGATGCAAGAGATGTTGTGGAGGTAGAAGCTATAAAGCATAATAACTGATTGGATTGTGGGGAAGTGGGGAGGACCGATGGCACCAAGGTTATAGCACCTTCATTTTTTCAGATGAGAATGCTAAAGGCCAAAGAATTTAAGTGATTTCCCCAAGGTGATGTGTATAGTAAATAGCAGAGCCAGGATTTGAACCCAGTCCTCTGGTTCCAAATCCAGTACTCTTTCTAACCGGCCACACTTACGTTCCATCTGTACCTGACTAAGAATCCTCTCGGTGACATTTTCACCAAATAGTCATCCAACTTTCATTTGATGATCTCCAGTGACAGGGAACTCACTAACTCCTGAGGCAGCCCATCGCACTTTGAGGTGTTTCTAAATATTAGAAACTTTTTGCTTATTTTGATCCCCAAATTGTCCCTTTGTAGCTTTCTGCACTTTAGAGACAAGTAGAAAGCAGCTTTTCAGTATTCGAAGGGCTGCCATCATCCCCTTCATGCTCTTCTAATATTCTATTCTTCAGGCTAGGCATCCCTGTGCTTATGTGGCACGCTCTTCAGACCCGACCCTGTTCCCCTCCTTGGGTGTGTTCCCTCTTATCAGCGCTCTTGCTAAAGTGGAATAAGGACCCATAACTGAATACAGGGTGTCCCAAAAGACTTAGCGCATTTTTAAGGTTATACAGCTGATAGGAGAACACCCTGTACAGTAGTATACACCTGGTCTGACCAGGACTGAGAACAGTGGAGTTGTCACCCTTCTCCTTCTCTAGACTCCATTTGCATAACTATATGGTCCGGCTAAGATATTTTCCACATCAATATGGGAATGGGGAGTGAATGACAGTATGACCTTCACAGTCTACCTGTGATCGTTTCCAAAAGCCACGTGAAGTTAAAACTTGTAACAGTCATACTCATCTGGCAATTTGTAATTTAGCAAACAGGTGTTCTGTAATCTCAGTGAGGTCATTTTTTAAAAGTATGAACAAGTTTGTGGTTACAAAGCACTGTAACAAATTATCTTATTTCATTTTCACAGCAGGAAGTGTGAAATAGTGAGAATATTATTATCTGCATTTTACAAATGAGGAAATGGAGGTCAAATATCTTTTTTTTCTAGTATCACAAATACCAGGGCTAGGATTTCAACCCAGAGTCTCTGAATCCAAATTCTGTGTTCTTTCTGCTATTAAAAAAATGCCTCACATGTGAATTTTTCAATGTAATTTTCACATATACCCCCCCATTCCTCCCCCAACCCCTGTTTTCTTTTCTATCTAGAAGACAACTTTGAGAATACACACTCATTTTTACAGAGGAGCAAATTAAGGCTCAGAGAAACCAGGCTCCTAGTAGCTAGTACTCAGAAGTACCTTAAAGAGCAGCTACTCCAACACTTTCCTATTATTGAGGCCCACAGAAGGGTTGTGATTTTTCTCAAGGCCATGTATCCAGTCAATAGTGCTAGATCCTGGGTCTCCTGACATGAAATGCCACCATACTTTTTATAATATGACAGTGGACTTAGTGTTGGAAAGTGACCTTGGGAATCAACTCGACCAATTTTACAGATGAAGAAACTGAGGCCCAAAGCTGTTCGGTGATTTTCCCGAGATCCCAGAGATAGTAAATAACAGAACTGGGGTAGAAACAGAGGTCCTGTGACTTCCAGTACACATCCTCTTTATGACACCATGCTGCATCTGGAACCTACCTTCTGCACCACTGAAATGTAAATAGAACCACATACCCAGGACAGGGCCAGGCATACCTAAGTGCTCACAAGCGATTTCTTTTGATTCCTTGCCAGTAGCATGCTATTGCCACATGCATAATGTTTCCAATGATATGCATATTTTTAACTTGAGTAGAAAGCCCATAATTTCTTTTTTTCTTTTTCTTTTTTAACAGGCAGGAGAAAAACACTATCATCCTTCTTGTGCATTATGTGTCAGATGCAGCCAGATGTTTGCGGAAGGCGAGGAAATGTATCTTCAAGGTAAAAAAAAAAAAGATTTGGGAAATACAGGAAGCATAGGGTATCTAGAATTGGTCACAGGATGGGGAAATACAAAAATTTTAACTTAAATGTTTCAATTGAAAGATCTGGTTAATAATAGGACTTGGAGCCTTAAGAGGTTCTAGAGATCATCCAGTGTAGTTTATTTTATATGAATGAATAAATGAATGAGTGAATGAACAAATGAATAAAAAAGCCTTATTAAGGACTTATTATATGCTAGGCACTGTAAAGTTCTGAGGTTATAGACACAAAAATGAAAAAGGCCTTGCCCTCAAGGAGCTTACATTCCAATTGGAGGGGACAACATATACAGTAGGCTAATAGCCAGGGAAGGGTGAAATCACATGGCTAATGAGTAGGGCAATAATTAATATGCCCTTTTCTGAAATAAAAGTAGTCTTGATTTGATTGCTGGTAGTCTTGATAAAAGTTCCCAAAGTAAGAAGTAAATTGGGAGAGGGAACTCTGATAATATATCTAGAGACATGGCAGAATGGTAGTACAGTTTGGTAGCTAGGGCCAGCTAGATATAGGGGATATAGAGATCTCTCCCCAGTCAGCATAGGGATTCCCAAGACTGGGGAGGTGGAGGTCCAGTTAGGGAAGGTACAGTAGCAGGGGCTGCAGGAAGCATCGCAGAAAGGTGCTACATGAAGAAACTGGGGCTCAGATAGAGAAAATGACTTGCCCACATCCTAAAGGTAGTAAATAACATAGACAGGACTTTAACCTATATACTTTGAGACCAAACCTACTGTCCTACTATGCCCTGTGCCAAGGAGTACAATGTCAATGAAATAAGAAATTGATGGAAGTTTTAGGGGACAACATATCCAAAATAAGAGATAGAATCAATGGATTTTTCACAGGGACCTGAGGACCTCTCTTATCCACATCTCTGACTGACAGATGAACTCTAAGATAGATAACAGCTCATATAACTGGTTGTCCAGCAGCTTCTGGAATACTTTTAGTAGTGGGAAACTCATTGCCTCCCAAGTTACCCCGAATTGTTTCTAGACAAATCTAATTATTAGGGAGTTCTTCCCCTTGTACTTTCTACATATAATTTCTAGTTCTCCACTCCATGTACCTCATATTGGTTATAGATTACAAAATTTCATAGCAAAATCAGTCCATTTCTTGCTGCTGTATCAGTTTTATAGAAGAGAGTCTTAGATAGGGAATCCTCTTATTTGGGGACTCAGGATTTGTATTTACAAATAATGATTCCTGCCTGCTTCCCTAAGGCTGGGGCACACATCTTCTTTGTTGAAAGTGAAAGAAAAAGATGTTAATAATGAATGCAGAAAAATCAAACAGCATCTAGAACTTCAGGAATTAATATTAATAGTTCCTTTTTCTTTAGCTTTTTAAGGTTTGCAAGGCCTTTCCTCCCACCACCTCCAATAAGACAGTTAGTTCAAGTATCTTCACCCTCATTTTAGAAATGGAGAAGCTGAGCTTCCCAAAGGTGAATTGACCTGTCCATGGTCCCACAGCTAATAAATTTTAAAACCAGAATTCAAACCAATGTCTTCAGTTCCCAAATTCTATTATTACTTTAATAAAGTGGGCATTTGTCTGAAGAATTCTGAGTTAGAAACCAAGGTTTCTTTATTGATGGGTATCTCTAGCACCTGTCCTTGTTGAATATATAGATTGTAACACAATAAATTCAGGGGGAAAGGAAGTCTCATTAAATAGAAAGATATTTTCTCTTTAATCCTTCTGTTTCAACTGTTTCTAGATTTTTTCCCTTAATATGCTCACTTAATAACCACCAAATTAATATGCATTTGGGTCATTCTGCCAAGGCTCATATATCATGTTTTGCTTGAAATGTCTAAAATTGCCTTTATTTCTATATGCTTGACCAATCTTTGCTGAGTTTGTCCTATTTTGTTCCACTTTTTATCTTTTCATAGTGTAGTCAAAAGAGTACCAGGTTAGGAGTCAGTAGGTCTTGGCTCTAGTTTCATTCTATCACTGACGTACCATGTGACCTTGGGCAAGCAATGCCACATTTTGGGGATTTTGTTTTCTCAACTGGAAAATTAAAGGCATTGAACTAGACTATTGCTAAAGTCTTTCCCAGTTTTTCCTTTCTATATTTTAAGGTCTTTTCTACCTCAAACATTCTACAATTGACTATTACCTTTATTTACTTAACACTTTGGTCAAACAAACAGATGACTTTGGAGATTTTGCTGTTGTTAAGGTGATTCCAAGTCAACTAGATAGAACCAGTTGGAAAGATGAGATACCAAATCTGGTTTCAAATATTACCTTCAAAGGTCTTAATCATACTATACACCCTCATTTATAATATTTTTCCTTTGAAGTCTCTGATTGGATCTAAAATATAATTGATTTATGATTTCAGTTGTCCTTTTTTTTTTTTTAAACACAGCCCAATTTTTCTGGTACCAGTTACAGTCAAATAGAGACTAGCAATCTAAACTGTCTCAAATATTTTCCATTGCTCCTTTTATCAGACAGAAACCAGGCTCATATTCGTTGTTATAAATACTCTGTGAAAGGAACTATTCTGACTGATCTCACTAAAACAAGGCCCTTCTCCTAAGGGTATGAAATTGTCCAGATAGTCCAGATCTTTTCCATGTCTCCCCGCCACCCTCCCCACCCCCCAACTTCTGCTCAACACTCATTCTTGACTCTTTCCAGTGCTCTTTTAAAGACAGTAACTTACTCATGGGAAACAATAGCCTACAGGGCGGGAGTTCTAAGATACAAGCTACTTAATTGAATGAATCAAGGCTGCTGTGACATTGCACACAAGCAGAATTAGGTCAAAAGGGGCAAAAACATTTAACATGATATAGATGACTGAACTATGAGTCAAGGGAACTGACTTCTACTCCCAGACCTGTCACCAATTGCGTGACTTTGGATAAGTCATATTACTATCTCTGACCTCGTTTTTCCTTCATTTTTAAAAGGAGAAGATTGAACTAGACATTCTCCAAGGTCCCTTACATCTCTAATAGTGTATATTCTTTGCTCACTTCCTGGTTTAACATTGTGTTTTATGTAGTAACATTCTGTCATCCCTTCTAGCCCTAACATTCTTTGCTTCTAAGGTTTGTCTGTAGGACATACCCTATACATTCAGGCTACAGTTTATCAATTGTAATTTCATTGGCACTGAAGGCCCTTACCCATAATATCTCTCTCATTGAGCTAACACTTTGATGGATCTGTGATCTTTTCCATGTGGTTTGAATGTCAGAACCCATGTACACCTTCCCATCCTATGGCAGTGTCATCTACATCCTCCTGTGAATGCTCCCCCTGGAAGGTATCCCCAAAGTGCAGAAGTACTTTCCATAGTTCTCTCGACCTTACAGGAAAACCCTTGAGCATATGATGTCTGTTTCTTATCCTTTGCTTTTGTTTTCCATAACTAGCCAGCTTTCTTTTTCAGTTCTACAAATATTTTTATACCTTTCTCATTGTCTCTGAAATACATTTTTTGGGGGGCAATATGCCGCAGCCTATTCAAATCCACCATACATTTTTCTCTGTTGCTCTTTGGGTGATCTACAACTTAAATTCTTTGGATTTGCAGATGTCTACCAGAAGAATAGTGATGTGAAAAAGATAGCCCTTTATTTCAAGGAGAAGCTTAGGCTGATTAAATGAAAAGAAGACCTACACTTTGCTTCTCAGATTCCATAGTTTGTTGTCCCATCATATACTACTAGGACAACTCTATGGCTTGTACGTCCAAGTACAAAAGAGAGTCTGGACAACATGTATTCTTCATCCTCCTGGTTTTTTTTCCCCTGTGGATAATTAGGCTCAATTCATTTGAATAGTTATTGGTTTCATTTAGGAGGCTTTGCAATGTCTGGGGTCTTGGTACATCTAAAGCAGAAGTTATCAGAGGATCTTCTGGGAACCCCTGAGGGTCCCCGTGACTCTTTCAAGGAGTGTGTGAGGTCAGAATCATTTTCCCAGAATACTAAGATGTTTTCATTTCAAGTTCATTTAATTTCATTTCATATAACCCACATAAGAAAGCTTTTGGTGGGCTTATTGATAACTTTTAAGATCTCTAAAGGGACCTGGAAACTAAAAAGTTTGAGAAGTGCCAATCTAGAGGATTTCACCATCTTTAGGGAATCCCTCTTCCATGCAGAAAGAGCGTTAGGTGCCTTTGTTGTTTCATTTATTAACAGCAGCAAACACTTTTGACAAGCGTATCTGTCTCTGTTCAATGCATCACTTCAAGTAAATAATCAGATCATTGAGCAAAGTTATCTTTGTTATTGCATGGAAAATGCCTTGCAGAAGGAGAGCCCTTGAGATGGCACTTGGCTTTACTGAATCAAATGCTTTTTATTGTTAACAAAAACAAGCAACATTCATCAAGGGATCTTATATTCTTGGTGCCTTTCAACCGAATAGCCTGCCCTAGAGGCAGCTAAATCACGTAGTAGATGGAGCTCTGGACCTGGAGTCAGGAAGACCTGAGAATCAGATGAGGTAATATTTGTAAAACTCTTCACGAACCTTAATGTAATATATAATTACTACATTATATTGTGGATGGAAACTCCCAACATTAGAATAAAGGCATTTTGCTTCTAGATGGTCTTATTAAGTGGAATATGTTACTATGAAAAGAGACTATATCAGCCTACTAGGACCGCATGCTAGCAAAAGGATGAATCTGTAGGATTACATAACTTCTGAGAGCAGTATGTTGAGAGATAGTAATAGTAGTAACAAATCCATTATAATATATATTTATTACTCTAACAGGTATAGTCAGCATAAGATTAGGAGTCTGTATGACAATATTTCAAAAAAGGAAGGGAAAAAAGCATTTATTAAGCACCTGCTATGTGCCAAGGACTGCTAAGCACTTTACAAATATTATGTCATTTGATCCTTGCAACTACCTTGAAAGATAGTCGCTGTTATTTTCCCTATTTTACAGTTGAATAAACTGAGTCACATAGAAGTTGGTTGACTTGCCCAGGGTCACATAGCCAGTCCTGTAGGAAGGATTTAAACTCAGGTCTTCCTGAATCCAGGTCCAGTGTTCTATCCATAGTGCCACCTACCTGCCTCTTACTTAATCAAAAAAAGTAAATGTTATACTGGCCATAAATATCTATATTGTTGTTGTTACTACCTAAGATGCATTACCACATAGCACAAAGAACACTGGACTGGGTGACTAGATCTGTCTCTATTATTAACCATGTGATTCTGGGCGTATCACTTCATTTTTCTGAATTTCCATTTCTTCATCCTCACAATCAGTATAATAGCACATGACTGCCCTTCTAGGGTTATTGTGTGGATCTAATAAGACAGCACATGTAAAAGTTAGAAATATATGGCATTCCTTATGAATAAGAAGTGTGAATCTAGCATCATTTTCATGGATCAGAACAAGATAGAAGGTTCCTTAATGAACCTACCCCTATAAGGGCTTCTTCTTGAAAGATTCATGATTATGTTGGTGTTTGAAGGAGATTGGGCTGGGAGGGGGCTGAGTTCCATTGCTCAAGACTTAGTAAATAGTTAGAAAGGTGCCGTGGCAAGGTTACCTAGTTGCTGAATTATGCACCACGCCTTCTTAGAAAGCAGCTCCAATGCTTCTACACTCTCATCTTTTTTTTTTCCCCTGTGGGGTAGAACAACAGCATTTATCCATTTACTAATAAATAAGGCAAAAATAAAGAATGAGATTTCACACCAGGGAGTATTTTTTCCCATTTCTGCTGTGGCACATATTGATTGTATTATTTACTAGAAATTCATAAACCTTTCTAGGCCACTAAAAAATAGACATGCTTGCTTTGCACTCCAGATAAACATCTTGTATCTTGGGGACAAATGATAATTGACCCTTCTTGGCCTATTGTGAAAAACACATTCTATTGACAAATGCATTAAGATTGTCATTCTGAATATCCTCAGGAGCCTTTGCTGGTAGTTTCTTAGGAAAAAAATAAAATGTCATAGGAGTAGGAGTCAAGAAAGCTAGAATCTTGTTGTAACTGAAAAGTTATACCCTTCAGCCTGTCACTTCACCTCTTGGATTTGAGTTTTCTAATTTACACAATGTTCTAAGATACTTTCAAGTTCTAAGATTCTATATTCTAAGGTTTTTTTTTTCAAATTTTAATGTCCCATTGTCTTTATATTTCAAAGACTCTTCTAGATCAGAACAATCTATGTTCTAACGTTCCTTCAAATAGTCTGTGACCTATATTCAGTATAGTACCTGTTCTGTGTACCTTGTAGAGCTTTTGAGAGGCTAGATGGTACCGCTAGAGTTAGAGTTACAGGACTTGGATTCCAGTCCTCCCTCTGATATGTAAGGCTTGTGTGATTTTGGGCAAATTACTCCCCTTCTCTGGGGACTCATTTTTCTCATCTATAAAATGAAGAAATTATTAGATGATCTCTAGGGTCCTTCCAGCTCTAAATCTATGAGCTAATGATCAGTTGAGAAAAAGAATATAAAGCATTTTGCAACTGGAGAGCAATCTGTAAATGTGACCTCTGACTATTATGTAAGCTCTTATTGTTTGGGTTCCAACAGTTGTTAACTGTGGCTTATGGAAGTGAGGAGATTCAAGCTGAGAACCTGTTAACTTCATAAATTAGCATATAATTGGGGTAGAGAGAAGCAATGACTTAATTTTGCCAATAAATTATTTAAGGAAAAAAAGAATGTCACATTCAGTCTCTTTCTTATGGTCTTAATCCATCAACTTGAAAATCTCATTAAAAAGCAGAGCAGCTTAATGCCTTGCAAGGCTGCCCAGAGGGTTGACAATCTTGCAACCTGACTTTAGAGAAATACACACTGGCTCTTGTGGCTTAAATATTTTGAAGTAAGAAAAAACATTCAGATTTACCTGCCTAAGGCCGTCCTTACATGTGACCTTCACAGATCCCACAGTGCTCTTGTGAACCCCCAGTTCTTTAAGAGAGTCGTAGAATTTCAAGCTGGAAATCATCCAAATCGACTTTTCCACTAAAAAATTATTTACAGATGAAGAAACTGAGGACTGCAGATGGGGAAGTTCTTCATTGAAAAATAAACAATCTCTGTGACAGAGCAAGGATTAGAATTCAGAACTCCAAATTCCTATTTTAAAACTTTTTCTGCCACACCACACACTTGATCACACAGCTAACAATTTTCAGAGTTGAGAACTGAACCCAGGTCTCATATTGTTGTTTAGTTATTTCAGTGGTATCCAACTCTTTGTGACCGCATTTGGGGTTTTCCTGGCAAAAATATTGGAGTGGTTTACCATTTCCTTCTCCTTATCTTATAGATGAGGAAACTGAGGCAAACAAGGTTAAGTGACCATCCCAGGGTCACACAACTAATAAGTATCTGAGGCCACATTTAAAGTCAGGTCTTCCTGACTTCATGCCTGGAACTCTATCCACTGCAACACCTAGCTGCCCTGGGTCTCATGATCTGAAAATAAATATATTTTTGAAAATAAATAATTAACTCTAAGTAATTTATTTGCAGGTACATCCATCTGGCATCCAGCCTGTAGACAAGCAGCCAAAACAGAAGAAAAAAACAAGGTAACATGAGTCTTAATTTCATCCCAATTTATTTTCTCCTAATTATTATCTTAATTACTGCCCTCTCCATGTTCCAAGATGTTCATCATTCATTCTTTATATATTTATTGAGTCCACATACTATGTGCCTTGTGTGTAGGGGATGCCAAAGATGTAGAAAATGTGCTTCCCAACTTCCACCTTGGAGAAATGTCCAAAAAGCTGTCCAGCAGTGAGCTGAGGCCATGCAGACACATGGCAAAGTGTCCAGTTGTTTGGCTTATAAATGAGGCTAAAAAGATTGCAGTCTTGGAAGACTTCACAAAAGTGAAACATGAGCTGAACTTTTCAGAAATGAGCAAGTTTTGAAGAGGCAAAGAGGGGACATATCCAAAAAGATCAATATCGGTGTACAAGGAACTAGGTAGACAATTTAGATTCTTTTAAAGATAGAAACAAAGTAGCAGAAGATAGAATGACAGATTTAAAACAGCATCAGAAACTATCAGCCTTAGGCTGATGATAAAAGATGAAGACAATAAAAAGTACCTGGTGATCTTCAGTGAGTTTAAGTCACCAAACTCAGGTAAACTATATCACAAGGCACTATAAGGACTAGCAGATGTAACTTCTGAGCCTCTGGTAGTCATCTCTGATGAACTGTGGTTTCATCTAAATTACTAATCATTAGAGAAATGCAAATGAAAGCAGCTCCAAAGTTGCTTACCCATAAGCCTGGCAAAGAACACAAAAAAGAAAAATGAATAATGTTGGAAGTGCTGAGGGAAAGCAGGCCCATTAGCACTCTGTTTGCAGAGTTGTGAATTGGCTCAGTCATTCTGGAATGCGTTTTAGAATTTTGCCCCCAAAGCCACTAAACTGTACATACCCTCTTATCCAGAGATACCACTACTAGTTCCATACCCCACAGAGGTCACGGAAAGAAAAAAGGGACCCATATATACAAAAATATTTCTATCAGATCTTTTTGTAATATAAAAGAATTAGAAATTTAGGGTGGGGTGCCCTTCAATTGGTGAATGACTGAAAATGGCATATGTTGTCACAATATATTATTGTGCTTTAAGCAATGATGAAAGACTCAGTTTCAAAAAAAAAAAAAACCTGGGGAAAGTTGTAAGAGCTAAAGCAGAGAAAAGTGATTAGAACCAGGACAACAGTTTACATAATAACAACTTGTAAAGACAAATAACTTTGAAAAGATAAACAACTATGAAAGACTTAAGAACTCCAGTCAATGCAGTGACCAGCTATAATCCCAGAGTACTGATGATATCACAATCTTTCTATCCCTGACAGGGAATTGACAAATTCAAGATACAGAATTAAACATACATTTTTGGACTTGGGAAATGGAGGAATTGTGTATGTGCATGTGCATATGCGTGTGTGCGTGCATGCGTGTATGTGAGATACAGAGAGAGAGAGAGAGAGAGAGAAAATGCATATTTGGTATAAGGAATTTATTTTTCTTTTTTTTCAATTGTGGGATTAAGGGGGAAGGTGAGAAGGAGAAGAAATACTTAGGATTGATTTTTTGTTAATTAAACAAGTCATAGATTTGTGCCAGGGAATATTTACTTTGGCAAAGACAAGGAGTTTATAGTGAGTAGTATATTTTAATAGGATAGTGAGGGGATTTTCCTACAGTAAAAGATTCATTCAAGAACCATGAATTAAATATCTATTTGTAATATGTGTTTGGAATTGGTGATACATAGATTAATTATTGGACCCAAAGATTTAGATCGAAAGAGCTAAGATACCTTAGAGTTCAACTAGCATAATTCCTTTCTTTACAAATGACCAAACTGAGGCCCAAAGTGATTTTCTTAAGGTCACCCAGGTGACACAGTCTGGATTCAAATCCAGGTCCTTAGGTATGATACCTTCACAAATGGTGATTTCACCATCTAGTAGGGAGCACATGGTCCAAACATACAGAAGTAAGCAATATCATACAATAAATATGAATTAACTATAATACAGAATAGACCATACTCAAAGTGAAGGTGGTAGAAAGTGAGATCATTTCTAACTAGGGGGAAATTATGTATATTATTTCCTTATATGTATATATTTAATTTTCATACATATGTATGTGTGTATACACACATATATTTTGTGTATGTATGTATGTATATATGTATGTATGTATGGCAGTGATAAGAAAGTAGTCTGGTCCAGACTATGAATAGGGTAGGGTAACACCATCTTAGAAAAAAACCTTGAAAGCCAGGTAGAGGACTTTAGATATAGAAATTAGGGCCTGTTAAAAATTTTATACTAAGATATTCTGTTGAGGAAATCCTAAGTATGGACTATTTTGATATTTTGACATGGAATATACTTGCTCCTGAAGCATGTTTTATCCAGGAACTTATGGTACTAATGAATTTAATAAGCAGAACTAGTAGCTAATTCATACCCTATTATGAGCTCATGTGCATTGTATTCATTGTGGGGAGTTTGGGGTACTTTTCTTGATGTCTGTACTCCTTAGAAAAAACTTGACTGTGGAAGCCTAATAATGTAGTAAGCCTGATCTAATGCAGCTGCCTGTTACTCAGTTTCTGATATTCTACAAATTTAAATCATGTTTGTTCAAACATAACAACATCTGATTTAAAAAAGAATGAAGAAAAAGAAGCCAGATGAGACCAAGGCTAAGCTTATTAGCATTTATTAACAGGCATTTATTAAGCACTTACTTTGTACAAGGCCTTGTGTTTAGTGTTGTTGATATTAAAATGAAATCAGGCCTAGATATTGTCTTTCAAGAACTTAGAAACTATTATGGGAGAGCAAAACTCTAATACAAGACCAAATGTAATACATGTGAAGGAGAAGTACAAACAAAAGACTATGAGAAATTGGAAGGAAGAAAGAGCATTTTTAGTTGGAGGTATTCAAGGGAAGATTTATGGAGGAGCTGACTCCTGTGTTTAGAGGAGAGATCTTATTTTATTTCTATTTTGATTTTAATCTTACTTTTATAGCTATGCTTTGTTTTGCTAAACATTTTCATTTCAAATACAACTCTCTCCTCTCTTCTCCCTCATAAAACATCTCTTATAACAAAGAATTAAAAAAAAAAAGAAATAGTTTAGCAAAACCAATACAACACATTCACCATATCTGACAAAACATGTGATGACAAATAGGGTATCCTGGGGCAGTTGTGTGTGCCAGGACATGCCAAAGATGCAGATGCCTTTGGCGTTACGTACAAAGACTATCGATGTGTTTGGATAATAATAACATTCCGTGTGCTTTCTTCTCCAGGCACAATATTCTCAGTTCCTACAACCATTTCTGGTGTAGAATGGTTGTTAGTCTTCTCACCATTGTGGTTATCCTCCTCAGGGGTCATTCCAGGAGACCTGGTATCTTAGAATTCTGAAATCTCAGAGTTTGAAAGGAATTCAAAGGGATTCTTCAATATTTGAAGCAAGAATCCTTACTTCAGTTCACCATCTCCAACTGGTGATCTTCTAGACTCTGCTTATACATGTTTTGTCAGAAAGAATTCATTATTTAGCCACAGAGCCACTTTCACTTTTGGATGGCTCTAATAATAAATATTTTCCCCTCTGAATTAATTCCATTTTCTCAAACTGAATACAATAATCATATACTACTGAAAGTCAAAGGGCCCTCCATTAGGAATCCTAAGAGAATATTAACACACAACAATATGATAACAAATTATAGAACTCAAATGAAATGGAGGATTATTTACAAAAATGTGAATTACTAAAACAGACACAGCAGAAACTTGATCATTCTAATAACCCAAGCTCAGAGGAAGAAATAAATCAAGATTACAAAAGCTGAGAAATACAACACTACAAAAGATAATTATAGACTAATTTTCCTAATGATATAGATGAAAAAATTCTAAATAAAAATTTAAGTAAACACTATAACAATTAATTTAATATAACTACCACAACTAAGTAGGATTTAAACCAGTCATGCAAAGCAATATTAGAAAACCTTTTAATATAACAAGAGTTTTTAAAAACTTTAAAAATATATCATTAGACACAAAAAGGTTTTTTAATGAACCAATACATATTCATGGTCATAAAACTACATCAAATCCAGGAAAACAATATACATAAATATTACAACTCTGTAAGTTGAAAGAACAACAAAATAATTGGAAATGAATGGTATAAAATTATAGCGGAACCAGATCAGAAGGCTTGGGTTTGTGGACTGCCTCTGCCTCTTCCTCACTGTTTGACTTTGGAAAAATCCCTTAAATTCTATGTGTCTTAGTTTCCTTTGTTATTAAAGGAAAAGTTTAGACAAGTTAATCTTTAAGATTGTTTCTAGCACTGACCTTTCAGGCCTCTGATGTTTCTGTACTGCAACAATGTGATGTTGCAGTATGACATAGTGGATTGGAAGCTGGCCTTCAAGCCGGGAAACATCTGATACTATGTCTCATCCCTGTCACATTTTGGCTGTATGACGCTGGCCAAGTCACATAACTTCCCATTGCTCTAGGCAGCTCTCTAAGACTACAAGTTATAGAGAAGATGCTGACCTACATTGGTAAAATGGAGTTTTGTCATCAGGGAAGATACTATGCAAATGATAGGTCCAGTCCCCTTGATGTTGCCTTTCAGCTATGGTCATTGGCATAGCTGAAAATGTAGGCCTATGACTTACAGACCTTTCCACATGAATTACTCTTAAAGAATTTCCTTTATTCATGTGTGCTTATAGATACCCATCTTCTCTGTGTCTGACAATGAGGATACTGATATTGATCAATTCCTTTGTTCATTGCTGTTATTGAAAAGGTTATACTATGATGAAGTGCTAGAATGTGTCATGTGCTTCCAAAATCAAAATTAGTATACAGTAGTAATTAAAGAAATCTGTGAATGGCAGTAGAGTGAAGGGGGATAGGAGAGGGAGAAATATAGTCCCTTCTAGGGGCAACAGAAGGACAAGATTTATGACTGGAAGAGAAAGACATCATT